TAGAGATTTCTCTTTCTTGCTTTTCGTTAGCCTAGCCAGTGCGTGTCAATTTTGTTTAATTTTTTCAAAGAACCATACTTTTGTTTTATTAATCTCTGTTAGCTCCTCTTCAACTTTCGTTAGTTCTGTTCTGATCTTGGTTGATTTACTCTTCTGCTTCGGGTTTGGGGTGTGCTGTTCTTCTTTTTCCAAGCTCTTGAGTCTTTCATTAGATTGTCTATTGTTGATCCTTTTTGACTTATGGTTTATAGCACTATGTAGAACAACTTCTCTCAGAACTGCTTTAGCTGTGTCGCAGAGGATTTGTAAATTGCTCTCCATTGTCCATTTTGTTCATGCAGATTTTTATTCCATCTTGATTCTTCGTTATGAATATATCACTTTAGAAGAGGTTGTTAAATTCCATGTGTTTGTGTAGAAATGTGAGTTTCTGTTAGGGTTGATTCTCCTTTTATGTCCACTATGATCTGAGAAATAGACTGGTATGATTTCTATTTTTTAAATTTCGAGGTTTACTTTGTATCCTACGGATATGGTCAATCTAGAATATACGCATGAGATGATGAGAAGAATGTATAATTTGGGTTGGAGTAGAATGTCCTGTATGTCAGACTCGATCCAATGTTCTAGAGTTCTTGTTTAAGCCATTATTTCTTTATTAATTCTGTTTGGAGGATACTGTCTTGTGGCGATGCAGTGGGTTGTTGGAAATTCCAGTGATTAATGGGTGCTATTAATCAATTTGCTTAGATCCAGTAAGGTTTCCTTTATGAATCTGGGTGCACCTAAGTTGGGTGCATATATATTTCAAATTGCTATCTCTTCTTGTTGAACTGTGCCCTTCACCAAAGACCCTCTTTGTCTTTCACTACTCTTGTTGGTTTAAAAACTAAATCATCTGAAATTAGAACTGCCACGCCAGCCTTCTTTTGGCTTCCACTTAGTTGGAATACTGATCTCCACCCTTTTACTTTTAGTCTGTATGCATCCTTGCAGGTTAGATGTGTTTCCTGAAGATAGCATATACTTGGCCTGTATTTTCTTATCCATTCAGCCAGCCTATGTCTCTTGAGTGGAGAGTTTAAGCCATTCACATTTATTGAGAGAACTGATAGGTAAGGTAGATTACTGTTCATTCTGTTGGGTTGGATGTTGTTGCTTTGATTTCTCTCTTGAGCCATTGTAATATCTGGCCTTTAATCTTTGTGTTTTGGTTGTCTTTATATTCGTGAGTTATTATGGTGTTCCGTGCGTAACACTGTTTTGAGTACTTCTTGTAGGGCTGGTCTTGTCTTGTGAATTATCTGAGACTTTGCTTATCTGAGAATGTCTTTATTTCTCCTTCATTTACGAAGCTTAGTTTTGCAGGGAATAAGATTCAAGGCTGGACATTGTTTTGTTTCAGGAGAGTGAGAATGGTCTCTCCTTGCTTGTAAAGTCTCAGTGGAGAAGTCTAGTGTTATTTGAATTGGCTTTCCCTTGTATGTTACTTGCTTCTTTCATCTTACAGCTATTAGAAGGCCTCTTTAGTTGATATTTTGGTCAGTCTGATGACTTCATGTCATGATGTCTTCCTGTTTGCATTGAATCTCCCAGGGGTCCTCTGAGCTTCTTTAACTTGTATATATCGAGATTTTTAGCAAGGCCTGGGAAATTTTCCTCTATTATATCTCCTATAATATATTTCCTATATTATATCTTAAATTATATATTAAATTTTCCTCTATTATATCTTCAAATAGCTTGTCCAACCCTTGAGTGTTTTCTT